AAAAATTCCAATATTAAGCACAATATACTATGTTTACCAATAATTTATTCTTCTTTGAGCATGAACCAAGCATTGCCAAAGATCAGTTCATTTGGTATTTGAATTAACGTTGCAATAATTTCCTATTATACAGTATATATAAAAATTTTTCAAATATGAATTTTTTATATTGCAAATCATGCTGAAATTAAATAAAACATCTTTTCAAGTAAAGAAATTTGTTCCAAATGTTGAACATGATTTAAACTTGGAAGAACATGGAACCCAGTGATTATCAAATCACAAAATCAAATACTCGGCCTAAGTTAGGGTTAGTGTTAGGGTTATTTTAGGTAGCTGATTTATTAGTACTTGTAAACAAATGACGTCATTGCAAGATTTCACATGATGTGATGATCACTATAGGTGCAGAAATATAGTGGTGCTTTAACTAACCTAACGTCAATTGGACATAACCCAATGTTGTAATGATACGTCAAAAAGTCATAACTGTTATTGGCCGTAACACTTGACATTATTATAATATTCGACGTGTGTTGCAATATTTGATGTGTGCTATAGTATTTGATGTGTGCTACAATATTTGATGTGTGCCGTAGTATTTGATGTGTGCTGCAAGGTTTGACATATGCCGTAACGGTAATAGTTTGTACTTCAATATTTGTGACATTTGACTTTTACGAATAGGGTTTTCAAACATACTGTAGATTTTATTATTTTTTAATTTATACATTGATTTTAAATGTTATATTCAATTTTTTTCTTTTATAATATTTTATGTAAATATGCATAATAGTAAAAAAAAAAATACATTATAATTTCAATTTGTTAATGTTTTTGTAAATATGCATCATAGCAAGAAAAATATATTATAAATTTGATTACTTTATTTTATTTTATTTTTTTATTTATCATTTCTTATTTAATCTTTGACATTTCATTCACATTGCAAGCTTCAATAGCAGAATTCAGATCTTAATAATTCTGGGGTTTTCGAGTTCAAGTTTTACTTTTCAATTTATAAATTCAAAATGTTATGTATTAAGACAATATAATTTGCTTTATTGTTAGGTAAACTTAGACCGATATTTTAAAATAAATAAAATTATTAAAAATAATTAAATTTAAAAAAGTGTTACCTAATCATTTAGTTCAGTATTCAAAACCGAGTCAACAAGATTCTCTGTATTAAAATCTATATTAATGCTATTGCTGCTTTCAATGCTAGATTAGAGGTATAAATCAAATTTTCATATAGTTCAATATCCCTTTCTTAGAAGATTGCATTTCTTAAATTAACAATTTCTTCTAAAACTAAATTAGTTCGAGTTAATAAAGTTTCGTAATTATTACTTTTGTATTCTTCACTTTCTTCTTCTTCTTTATCTATAATAAAATTATCTATTAAAGCAAGGTTAAATATTTCATGCAATTCAGATTCTGTTAATTCAGCTTCAAAATTAATAAGTTTATTTTGTATATTTGTCAAGTAATATAGTTGAATTTTTGCTATTATTTCAAGTTTTGTAATATTAAGGTATATACGTTTGTTTCTAATAAACTACTTTAAAATAGAAAATTTTTTTTGTAATTAGCTTGAGATAGCGAAATACTAAAGAGTTATTATGCAAGTTCTGTGAGATGATGTAGTTTGCTTTTTAATGATCCTACTATAATATTGGGGTATCAAGACCTTGAACATAAGATAAATCAAATAGCCTTTTTTTAGCATCATAATAGTGAAATAATAAAATTAACTCTTTATATTCTTGTTTTGAATGTCTTAAATTTTTCTATAAAGTTGAGGTAGTTATAGCAGCATCTCAAAATGCCTTATCCTTAAGACCCTTTTCTAACAAAAAAAAAATAATAAAAATTAATAATATTGAAAAAAAAAAAAAAAAAATTAAATTATATATAATTGTACTATGATAAAGTGGATGAAAATAGTAATACAAAA